GCAAGACTGTCCAGGAGGCCACCACAGGGTCCCCGATGGGCCCCAAGAGAACCCCAATACGGCACAAGAAGCGCCCAAGAGGGCTTTCAGAGGGCTCCCAGAGTGGTCCAAGAGGGGGAACTCGAATTGAGATTTCGGGCTTTCCGCCCCAAGGGGGCCCCCGAGACCACCAGCAGGTCCCCAAGAGGCCCCAAAAGGCCCCCCAAGAGGGCTCTTGTACGGCCCCAGCAGGTCTGACCTGGAAACCCGCAAACGATCGCGCGCCGTAGCCGTCCCAACCAGGTCATTTTCTGAACCGAGGAACGAAGTAGTCCAGCGACGGCCAGAAACTCTATGCATGTACCTGCACACGCCTATACATATACCTATGTACGCGCATGCATACATACATACATACATACATGCGTGCATGCATGCATGCATGCACGCATGCATACCTTCTTACATACATACGTGCATGCATACATGCATACATGCATACACACATACAAACATACATACACATGTATATATATATATATATATATATATATATATACATGTACGTACATACATACATGCATGCATGTATGCATACATACATACATACACCGTCATGCATGCATACATACATACACTCATACATACATACACACATGCATACATACATACATCCATGCATACATACATACATACACATACGTGCACACATACATCCACACATGCATACATACACACATACATAACAAGCATACATACCTACCTACATACATGCATACATACATACATGCATACATGCATACATGCATGCATGCATGCATGCATACATACATACATACATACATCTAGACATACATGTACAAATACATACACACATACATACACACATACACACATACATCATACACATATATACAGGCATACATACATACCTACATTCATACATGCATGCATGCACATATACGTACGTGTGTAGTACATACATACGACATGTCTGCATACATGCATGCGTACATACATATATTATTCATACATTAGCACATATATGCATGCACGCATGCATGCATACACACATACACACGTGCGCATGCATACAATATACATGAGTATGTACACATGTATGTGTTGCCCCGATTCGGTTCGGTTTGGTCCAGCTGGGCGTGCCTTCGGGTCGGTTCGGCCAGTCTGTTTCAGATCGCCGTCCAGTTCGGCCCAGCAGGTCTGCTTCGAGTCAGCAGGCCAGTCGACGCCAGTCGAGTTCGGCCGGTCCAGTTCGGACAGTTCGGTTCGGCCGAATATTTTCGGTTCGACCGGTTCGATTCGGCCAAACCATTTCCAGGCACCCAGAGGTTCCCCGAAGTACCCCCCAGACTACTTCGAAGTGCCCCGAAGTACCCCGACGGAGGCGACCACGGTGGCGACGACGACGATGATGACGACAACGACGACTTCGCCGTTAAAAGCGGCGACGACGTCTGCGACCGCGACGAAGTCGACAACGAAGAAGACGAAGGCGGCACGGGAGCTGGCCTGGGCCCGTGGCGGCGCCGCGCCGCAGCCGAGGTGCTTTGCCGACCCCGTCGTACAATTAGCAGGAGGAGGAGTCGAAGGGGGAGGAGAGATGGAGGGAAGGAGTCGAAGGAGGAGGAGGAGTCGAAGGAGGAGTCGAGGGAGGAATCGAAGGGGGAGTCGAGGAGCACACCTAGCAGGAGGAGGAGGAGGAGGAGGAGGAGTCGGAGGGGGAGTCGAAGAGGGAGGGAAGGAGGACCATCAGCCGCTCGGCCGATGGCACCCGCTGCCTAGCCCCTCCTGAGTGGATCTGGACCGTCGCAACAATGGTGCGCACGAGGTCAGATCACCGTGGGCAGGATTCTGGCGTTCTCATACTCTCTCTCTCCCTCTTCCTCCCTCTCTCCCTCTCTCTCTCACTCTCTCTTTCTGGTCTTCGCCCCCTCTTCCCCCCTTCCCCCTTGTGGATGCTTGTCTGCCCCCGCACCTCCTGATCAGCCGGCGGCCAGCGGGGCGTATTGCGGAGCCGGGGAAGGAGGCTCTTGCGCGCGGGCGGGAGGCGGGGCTTGGGACAGCGTTGGAGGTGGAGGTAGGGACCCTTGTGCACGTCGACCCTTGCCGACTGGCTCGGGGCAGAGCCAGCCGCCATGCGATGGGGCGGGAAGCGCTATGAGGCGTGGGCCTGGCCGTGTGCGAGCGTCTTTACGTGGACATTGGCGTCACACGTCACCAACCCACCCAGCGACCCTTGACCATGAACGGCCTCCAACAGCTGCTTACTGCCGGGCAGAATGGGCGCCCACGAAAATGTGAGAGGGCAGCGATCCAGAAGGATGTGGCAGCGTTTTTAGCCCGCCTCCAGCCAGCTGGAGGCGCAACCATCCGACCGCTGGCTGCCATCGCGGACGACCTAGGTCGTTTCTTAAATAGGAAAAAGCGTTACGAGGGATGCACGGGCTGGGGCTGCGCCAGCCCACCGTGTCGCCCTAGGCGGGTGGACAGCGCATTGGCGAGGCAGCCGTCGACCCAGTGACCACAATACCACTTCGAACAGAGATCTTCACCATTGGTTCCATGAACCAGGGGTCAGTGGCCTTCTCCACGCTTGCAACGATTGAGCTTCTGCACTGGCGCCCGTGGGGTATATCGGCGTCGCCGCCGCAGCAGAACATAGCACACATTTGTGCGATCCCTGGGGCACGACTCCCACGAGGCGCGCGGCTGCCCAGGAACTTCCCCTACGCGTGGGTTGCAACCGTCGGTTTTTTTCTGCGTCGGCGGAAGAATGCCCGCGGTCAGCTCCATCGAAGAGCTTTACGGCGACAGGTGGCAAACCATGAAGGCCCGGAGCTGCTAAAACGGAGCGCCCGTGCAAAAATGCTTACGGGTTCTACGGGGCCTTGTGGGCGACAGACACACCTCGGGAGTTGTTCTCCGAGCTCGCGCGATTTTTGTGGCTGCAGATTCCCACGCGCGGCACGTTTTGCTCGGCGATGGCAACGTGAACTGGACCCACTTCTTTAGACCGTTCTCGTGACTGTACATGCGCCCATTGCGCGCAATCGGGCGCGGACAGAGCCGTGCAACCGATGGCCACAGAGGCTGGACTAGTGACACAGCCAACCCGCATAGTAAGGATGGGCAACCTTCCCAAGGATACCCTTGCATCCTTGCCTCATCGGTCCATCCTTGGCCATTTTCGTTGGCGGTGCCCCGCTCAAAAGGCTTCGAAGCGGCCTTCCAAGGCCCTTTGCATCCGTATCGCGCATCCTTATGATGCGAGTTGACTGTGCTCAACTCTTTTGCACCTACCCACGTTTCAGACACAGCAGCTGACGTATTCTTAGCAGCGAATAGCGCCACCATCAATTTCAGAATCATGGGCTCCTTCGTAGCAGCTTCGGATCACAAAATGGCCCTCGGTCACCTCCCGCAGGATCTCATCCTGCGGTGCGATGCCGTTGTCGGCTGATGAGTGGGACGCAGCATTGCAATTTCAAATTGTTGCGCCTCTCTTGGGTCCACTTGTTGACGCAATCTTGTTGACGCAATGGGCCCACCCCTGTGCGACCCAGCCCTGGCGCCGCCAACGCCAAGGGGGCACATCGTTGAAGAAGGTGCGGCGTGGCATCCTGGACTGCGCGGAGCGGTGCCGCGACGTCGCGGGGGTCGCGCTGGACGCAGCAGGCGCAGTCAAGGTCGCGGCCCCGCGGCAACGCGCACCCAGGCGACGGGCGTCGGGGCCCTGGGGGGTCAGCCCGGGCCGCCCAGCGCGCAATGCCCCAGAAGTACGTTTTCATCCGAGAGCGCGACCGCCAGGTCGAGGGAACGTTTTCTTTCATCCTAGTCCCGGGGGGGCGTCTCCATCCACGCAGCGCTAGACGACCCGTCCACGGGTGGGGTCATGTCGCAGGGGCAAGTGACCCGGGGACTAGCGGGCGACTTGTTCACCCGCGCGCAGAATTCCCGCCCACAGAACGAGGCCGACGCAGCTGCCATGGAACGCGAAATCTGCACGATAAGGAAATCACGTGCCATGCCAGAGGACGCGTCCCCCACGAGTACTGCCATGTGCCCTTGTACTGCAGAAGAGATCACCCAGGCAATTTCACGTTTGCGGGCAAGCGGGGGCGGCCTCGGCTGCGCCGCGGCGGCCTTCGCCCCTGTGGTCGCCGCGGAAAAAGTTGCCCGCGCACAAATCAGGCCTGCGCATCTTTCGCTCCACGAACAGCCTCTGGCACATAAGCATTTGCGCGAACTTTGCCCAACTCCTTAACGCACTGTGGATGGAGAGGCGTGCTTCATGTATCCAGGAGCATGGTGGCGGCAGCCAGGTGGCGGAGTATCGGATCCACTCTCAGTAGTGTTAGCAGTCGTCCTCCCTGGAAGAAAAATGCGATCGTACCTTGGCCAGCCAATGACCAGGCCGTCATCGATCTTGAGTGGTGCTTCGATGTAGCCGGCCATAACGGTATGTTGTTGGGCACTTTCTGGGCAGGAGCACGCGGGCGCGCCTTGCTATGGCTCGACGACGTTCTGCAGCAAGACGAGCAGGTTTTATGACTGCATGGGCTTCTTTCCCTAGACGTATGTCTCGGCGTGTGGCACAGCGCACGGGCGCCGCTCCTCCGCCCCAGCACCCAACGCCCTCCCCAGGGACCTACGAGACAAGGTGGAGATGGCGCGCCCTTGCGAGTCGCGGGCAATGTCACCGCCGCGGGCACGGGCAGCCTTGCGTCCGGCCCACGCGCGGTGCCCAGCCGAGCTACTTGCTGGGGCGTATCTCACCAGGTGGCCCTTGCAGTGAGGAACAACGGATGTCTTGCTGCGGCCGCGGCGGCGGCCCTGGCCCAGTTACCGTCTCTCTCAGACCGCCTTGAGGTCACCGAATGTGCGAGTCGTCATAGGCTGGGCATGTTGCACTACATCGACGACGGGGCGGCGTCCCACCCATCAGCGGGAGCCACCAGAGCCATCCTGGGCCAACCCATCCTTTCAGCCACGATCACAAGGCCGCCTTCAATTTTGGACCTGGGAACGCCGAGTGTATGGCGGCACACGGCAGCCCAATGTTTGATTCGTTTGCCGTGGGTTTCGATGTAGAGCTGGCGCACAATATGCTTGGCATCACCCTTGACTTTGAAGTGTCCTTCACCCCCCACGCGAAGGCCACCCTGGCCATGGGGCAGTCCTTGCTTGATGAACTTTACCAGGCAGCACAGGCGGGAGGTTTCCCAGTTCGTGCCCTAGCCGTCCAAGTGTTGATACGTGTTGTACCCGCACGACTGGCAGGTGCTGCAGTGCCTGCCGCTGTGCCCAATATTGAAAGCGATCTCAACAACCTGCGAGCGCATTGGGCCACAGACGCGGCCCTAGACTGAACTGGGCCCTTTCGTGCCTCCAGTGCCGGTGGGACCTGGGAGTGGGCTCCCTCGTGTTCCTGCAGGTGATCATGGCCCGAGCAAGGCTCTGGGTCCTCCTGGAGGGACACACGGCGGCGGTGATGCGGGAGGCTGCGCGCGCGTCGCTGGCGCCCTACAGGTGGCGCGCGGTTGGCCAGATCATGACCAGCATGCCGAATGGGCCAGTTCCAGATATAAGTTTGCACGAGGGTTTCAAAGAGGGGGCGGTTGCAGCCCAGTCCTCGCCGGCGCCCCGCAAATCATTGTCACGGCGCTACCGGCAGGAGGTGGCCATGCCAGCTTTGCACGCCTACGACCAGCCATCGGCGGATACGGCAGCCAGCCGGCCACTACCATATCTGGAGCGACCGTTTGGCAGTCTCATGCTGGCGCTGCAGCACAACTTGCAACATGACGTGTTTGATGATCACGGGGGCAGTTTGTATTACAGGCCCTGGGCGGTATGCAGGGTGATTGGCCGCTGGCCGCTGCCAGTCCTGGGCGGGGAGGCCGCGCCGCTGGTCCTGCCCCGTTGCGGCGCATGTCCCAGCGCGGATGTGGACGTCTCCCACGCGCTGCTTGCGTGCGGACAAACTTTGGCGTCGGGACGCCAGCTGTGGGCATTCGACGGCGGGCCCCCCGCGACGAGGCAGGCGGCGTTTCTGGCCTTCTTCGGCCCATAAGCGAGCGCCGACTGCATCAAATACGTCGGCTGGGCGCCGGTGCGCCTGGCAGGGGTCGGCAGACGACCGACTTGTGCCCCTGTCAGGTGCGGCCCTCCTGCGTTCCCTTGGCTTGGCCGCGCGCGAGCGCCACAGACGAGAAACCGAGGGAGAGAAAGCGAGGGAGGAGAGGAGGAGGAGAGGGGGGGAACGAGAATAGAGCAGCAACGGCTCCCCACCTCGATCGGTACCCTCGCCGTCCGCGGAGGCAAGCACGGAGGGCCAACGAGGGGCGAGGTGAGGCGAGGGGAGGAAGGCACAGGACGACGGAGGGTGGAGCAGGTCGTCGCCGTCGCCGTCGCCGTCGCCGTCGCCGTCGTCGTCCGGACCGAGGAGGGCGGGTGAGGGGTCCGGACCCGCGGGGGTTCAGGGGGTGTCCAGACCAGTCCGGACCAGGGGAGGTACGGACCAGAGGGGTTGTCCGAACCGGGTTGGGGTCCCATTTCCCAGCGGAGGGCTCGAGCCGTCCCTTGGCTCAGGGCCTCGGTGTCGTCGCACGCGTCGTCGTCGCCGTCGCCGTCGTCGCGCTCGTCGCACTCGTCGTCGCACCCGTCGTCGCACTCGTCGTCGTCGTCGTCGTCGTCGTCGTCATCAGGTCCTACGGGCCCTGAGGGTGAGCCAGGCCGCCAGGGTTGCGTCCGGTCCTGTTCTGCCCGTTCGGTCCGCCGGGCCAGTTTGGTCTGGCCCGTTCTGTTCACCGGGCTGGTTCGGTCCAGTTCGGCTGGTTCGGGACGAGGGCCGGTCCGATTCGGCTGGTTCGGTTCGAGGACGGGTTCTCGGTTCTCGGCCCCGTTGGCGGCCATCAGATGTGTGTGTGTATATATATATGCATATCTATTTGCATATCCATATCCACCGCGCCTTAGGCTCCCAGAGCATAAGTTCCCCAGGCGGTGGTCATGGAGAAGTCCCCGCACCGCACCGTCGTCATCCTCCATGGCCCCCCTGGCTCGGCCGCCCTCCGCAGGGCCTCTGGGTCCCGCCGTAGCCGACGCCGCGGGGCTCCCGGGCACGCCTTCGAAGGGAAGATCATCGCAGGCTTTCTTCTAGTGTGGTTCGAGGCCTCCCAAAAATGGAGTCCGAGTATGGGGTCGGAGGATCGCACCGCATCCCCGATGCACCTTCTATGCGGCTTGATGTGGAGCCCGATTTTGTCCACGTCGACGACGTCAATGCATCAACGACGTCGGCGACGCATCGCCGTTGCATCGGCGATTTATCATCCATGCGGCGCGATCCTCCGACCCGAGCCCCTCTACTCGGACCTCATTTGGGAGGCTTTTAGGGGCAGCGCCAGGGGGAGGGTGGAGCTGGGCTCAGAGGGTGGAGGTTCCGAGGAACGCGAGCGGTTTTGGGCAGTGTAAGTCTCTGGAGGCCCTCGCCGGTCCCCGGGACCGTCAGAAAACGATTCACGATTCACAACAGTCCTAGGGATTGGGTCGACGTCATGGTGACCACGCCGCGTGGTGAGTCGGCGGGGATGCGGAGTCACCGCACGGTTTGGGGATTTAGGTCACCCCCATACACGACACGACGCAGACACGACGCATGCATGTGATTTACACCCGCTGTGCCGTCTAGCGTCTAGCGTCTAGCCACTGTTCCTTTCCCCAATCCCCCTATTTCGTCCGACCCGCCCCTTGCCTTCGGCAGTGGGAGGAGGAGGAGGTAGGAAGGAGGAGGAGGAGGAACAGGAGGCGCAGAAGACCGTGAGTCGGTTTCTGACATACCTCGGGCCCAGGCGGTCGTGAGAGGCCAAATACGGAGAAGAACCTCAGGATCCCACATCTCATCCAGAGCCCTTTTTCCCAACGGTGCTTTAGCGCATTTCCGGAGGCCGCCGACGCACAAAAGCATATCTTCCATCCGATGCTCTTCACGGCAACAGGTGACGAATACCTTCCCACATCGGCGGCGCGTAGAAGTGACCCTTCGCCAGGGTGCCTTTGACTCCGGACCCATACAGTTTCCCCAGCGCTGGCTTGCGTGGATTCGTCCCCCCCCTCCGCGGCCCCTGTGACCGCGGACCAAAGGCCGTTCTTGCCAATGTAGCGCCACTCTTGCTCTGGACGGCCACCGCGGGGGTTGGGGAGGTGAAGAACGACACCGCCAAGGCCGCTCCCCCCGCCCCTCCGCACCCTGCCAGGTTGCCTGCTTGCCACAAGAGAGCCCACGGGCGGCCCAAGGAGTCTCCAAGACGGGTTGAGAGGCGCCCAAGGCAACCCAGGAAAGCCCCGAGACGGCTCCAAAGAGGGGGAGAGCACACGAACAACTCGAATTTTCCTACCAAAGATGCCTTCACGACCTCCCAAGAGGCCCCCGAGAGGCCCCCCAGAGGTCCCCAAACCGCGCGTCGCACGCTAGACGGCACGCTTGGGGAAGGATCGGGGAGGGGAAAATCGTTAGATTCCGATTGGAAAACCACACACACACACGCACACACACACACACACAAACACACACACTTACACACACTTACACACACACACACTTACACACTTACACACTTACACACTTACACACACACACACAAACACACACACACACACACACACGCGCGCGCAACAGGCCCGGGCGCCTGGGGCCGGGGCCTCGAGCACGCATGGGGGGACCGGGGATTCCGAGACCGTTCCTTGAGCACCCCGGAGGAGCTGTGGAGCCCCCAGACTGCCCCAGAGAGCTCCAAGACACCCCAGATAGCCCCAACGCGGCCCAAGATGGGCTCCAGACCGCAAATACAGCCCAAAAGGCTTCCAAGAGGCCTCAAGAGACCTCCGAGAGGCGTCCCAAGAGAGCCCGAAGAGGCCCAAATTCTTCATCTCCATTGGTTTTGTCTATGTTGTTCGGCGTTTCGCGTTTTCGACCTTCCGACGCTCCACGACGGCCGACGACGCCCCCAAGACCGCCTCAAGACCGCCGAAGAGGCCCCCCAAAGAACCCCAAGACGGCCCCAGGGAACCCGAAAATTGCCCAGGAGGAGACCACGGCCCAAGAGAGCCCCAGGACAGGACCAAGCTGGGCAACAGAGCGGGAGCGGGTGGCCCCAAGGCGCTCCAAGACGGCGCTGATGGCCCCAACGCGTCCCTGATGGGCCCAACACGGCCAATACACAGCCCAAGAGCCCCCCAAGAGGCCCCAAGAGAGCTCCGAGAGGCGTCCCGAGAGAGCCCGAAGAGACCCAAATCTCTGATTTCCGGTCGTTTTTGTCCAATGTTTTTCGTTTGAATTTCCAACGCTCGAAGACGGCCGCAGACCCCCGATGATCCCCCAGAACCGCCGAGGAGGCTCCAAAAAGAGTCCTAAGACTGCCCAGCTGAGCCTGAAGACTGCCCAAAAGCAGCCCACGATTGCCCAAGAGATACCCAGGAGAGGCACAAGATGGGCCCCAGAGCTGGAGCGGGAAGCCCCAAGGAGCTCCAGGACGGCCCAGATGATCCCGACGTAGCCAACGAAGAGCTCAAAACGGCAAACACATAGCCCCAGAGGCCTCCAAGAGGGCCCCAGAGAGCTCCGAGAGGCGTCCCGAGAGAGCCCCAAAAGGCCCACATCATTGATTTGCACTGGTTTGTTCGATGTTTTTCGCTTTCTCGCGTTCCCGAGCTTCCACTGCTCGAAGACGGCTGAAAACGCCCCCAAGACCGCCTCAAGACCGCCGAAGAGGCCCCCCACAGAACCCCAAGACGGCCCCAGGGAGCCCGGAAATTGCCCAGGAGGAGGCCCGGACAGCGCAAGAGAGCCCCAGGACAGGCTCAAGCTGGGCCACAGAGCGGGAGCGGGAGGCCCTAAGGCGCTCCAAGACGGCCCTGATGGCCCGGGCCTCCGTCCCTCCTTCCCTCCCGCCGTTTCCCTTTGCCTCCAGTCCCTCCTGTCTCGTCTTCCTTCCTTCACCCCTCAGCTTTCGTGCTCCTCCCTCTTCTGCTGGGACGGCCCCGCCAGAGCGCCAGACAGGCCCCGCCAGAGAGAGCGGGGCATCCCTATACCCAATCATGTTACATGTTGCTTAACCCAGGCCCCTCCCACACCTCAAAAGGGGCCCCAGCAGAGCAAGAGGGGTGTCGCTATACCATATCCAGTCCCTGTTTTGTCTTGCCCCTCCCACCGCACCCGAAGTAACCCCGTCAGAACACGGGGTGTGGCTATACCATCATGTTCCTTAGGTTTCGTGTTCCTCCCTCCCCTCCTGGGCAAGCCCCGCCAGAGCGCCAAGGACCCCCCCGCCAGAGAGAGCAGGGCATCCCTACTTCACGCGATGTTTGGTCCTCCCACCTTTGCAGGGCGAACCCGCCTGAGCGAGCGGGGTGTGGCTATACGATACAATTTCTCAGGTGTCGTGCCCCTCCTTTACCTTCTGAAAGGCCTCGCCAGAGCGCCAAGAAGGTGCCGCCAGGGTCCCCGTCAGAGCTCCAGGCAAACCCATACATGGGCATTGCCAGGCAACTCATTGAGCATCCCCTGTGAGCCCGAACCTTCTGATCCCACGGTTGCGATGATCACCAGCATGAGGTTTGGGTCCCATCACAAAGAATCTTCCCCACTCCCGTGGACGGACTCGACAGCAACTGATTGCAAAGAAGGGCGCTGATGACCGGGACATCTGCGCGCGCCCTTTGCAGATACCCGACAGCTGAACGACCGCTGAAAACGAGAAGCTTGGAGCACAAGGAGAAGGAAAAACAACAACGCGTTCCCACGTGCGCGCAACGGGGCCCCGAGCCAACCCCCACATCAGAAGCCGGCGGATGTCTGCGTGATCAGGCATGGGGAGACCGAACACATGTGCAAAATATTGAGTGTCACGACGGGGCAAAGCGGAAACGAAAGTAGAACAAAAAGCGCAGTTCGATGAACCAATCACGGGCGGCAGCGAGAATGTGACATACGCGGGAACATGGAGCCCTGCGTTATGACTACGAGTTTCTTTTCGTCGATGGCATAGGCCCGAGGACGCTGGAAGTCGTCGTGATGGCCACAGCGGGGCTTACAGCGGCACCCGTTGCTCATCTGCAACTAGAACCTAAGCGCGCGTAGCGCGTTTAAGTTCTAGCCATACTATATATATATATATATATATATATATATATATATATGTATATTATGTATACGTATCGGCGGTGCCCCGTGGTACGAACCCATCCCCCCCCGCTTTCCCGGGGGTTTCGTACAGGGCGCACCGCGTGCCTGCGACGACCTCGAGCCCCCCCTCTCCCTCTTTCCCGGGGGGTTTTGTACCGGGCGCACTGGCGCCCCCCCCCCTGTGGTATTGGGGCGGGGCGTTCCTGTGGCCTGGGGGGGCTCCTGTGGGGACGGGGGGGGGTGCGTGGGAGCGAGGGGGATGGGTCTTTGGGGCGTGGGCGTGGGGTGGGAAAGAGGATCAGATGGATGAATGGAGGTACGGATGGATGCGGATCGACGGACGGATCTGAGATAGATGGTCCAGGGTGTGGCCCCCACCCTCATGCTGATGCCATCGCCCCCCCCCCCCCCCCCGCGCGGTGGGCCCCCCTCCATTGTGAGCGTGGCGTGATGCCCCCCCCCCGTCCCCCTGTGGGCATGGGGTGGTGGTGGTGGTGGTCGTCCTCGTGGTCGTCGTCGTCGTCGTGCTCGTCGTCGTCGTCAGCGTCTTTGTCGCGGTGAGGAATGCGGTGGAGTGGGGATGAGTCGGGATGAGTGCCGAGGAGGGCCGAGGAGGGCAATGGAGTGGGGAGGAGTCTGGGGCAACTGGGAGGAGAGCTGCGGAGTGCGATGGAGTGGGGAGGAGCTTGGAGGAGCGGGGGGGAGTGCTGAGGATTGCGATGGAGTGGGAGTGGGGAGGAGGCGGGAAGAGTGCGGAGGAGGGCCGAAGACTGCGATGGAGTGAGGAAAAGTTGGGAGGAGCGGTGAGGGGTTGCCGAGGAGTGCAACGGAGTGGGGAGGAGTTGGAGGAGGGGTGGGGTGCCCCTGGAAGACGTCCGAGGGATTGCGAAATGCTGGCCCCCTACTTCCGGGAAGCTCCGAGAACGTCCGGCCCACACTTCTGGGAAGCTTCTGGGGCTGCGGGGGCCTCCGGGAATCTCTGGATGTCGTCGTCGCCGTCGCCGACGCCACCGTCGCCGACGTCGCCGCCGACGCCGCCGCTGGACGCTCGCATGCGCTGTCCGGGCGCTGCCCCGCGCTCTGGCCATCCCAGGGGGGTTCGTACCAGGGCTCACCGGCGGGGCGTCCCCGGGGGGTTCGTACCGGGGCGCACCGGCCCCGGGGGGGTTCGTGCATCCCGGGGGGTTTCGTACCGGCCTGCACCGGCGGTGCGGCCAGCACGAAACCCCCAGGACGAGCGATTCCGGGGGGTGCTCTCTCCGCACTGGGCACCGCCGACATATACATATATATATATATATATATATATATATATATGTCGGCGGTGCGCCGTGGCACGAACCCCCCCCCCCCAGCACTACCGGGGGGTTTCGTGCAGCCCGCACCGGGTGCCGCCAGCGCCTTCGAACATCCCCCCTTGCCGCTTTACCGGGGGTTCGTGCAGGCCGCATTGGGTCCTCCCCTGTCGCTTTACCGGGGGGGTTCGTGCAGGCCGCGCTGTGTCTACCTGGGCTCCCCCCCTCCCCCCCCTGTGGGAGTGGGGGGGTGGGAGGGGTGGGTGGGTTGGGGGGGGGGGGGCAGGGGGGCGGTTGGGAAGGGTGGCTCCCTGTCGAAGTGTGGCGTGTGCTCGCCTTGTGTTCTCTATTCGCGTCTGCTCGCCTTTGTTTCGCCTTCCTCCTCTTCTTCCTCCTCCTCCTCCTCCTTCTCCTCCTCCTGCTCCTCCTCCTCTTCCTCCTCCTCCTCCTCCTCCTCCTCGTCCTCGTCCTCCTCCTCCTCCTCCTCGTCCTCCTCCTCCTCGTCCTTTGTAATGCAGATTGGGGCCACAAGCATGCGAGTTGCGCCGCAGCCTCTCGTATTGTGGCCACGAGCCCAGCAGTGCGAACAACAGGAATGCCAGTTCCTCCTCCTGCTCGTCCTGGTAAGATTCGCGCGTCGGGGCTGGGGTTCGCGCGTGCCGGGAGCGCGCCGCTTACGGAGGGGTTGCGTCCTTACCGGGGGGGTTCGTGCAGCCTACCAGAGGAGGTCGTGTTTACCGGGGGGG